TCATCTAGCTACAATTTGTACAGTGTATCAAAACTAGCTAGGAATCCTTTGATTTTGCTAATTGTATCCGGCCAAGTGTCTATTATCAGACAACTCAGTTCAGCGACAGCTTGTAGTCACCATATAAACCAGCATTTAAAAAAACCCTCTCAATCAGTTTGTTTCTTCGTCCTACGCTGTATTCAGTACGAAAACAATGAACTGCTCAGCAAATTGATTCAGTATCATTCTCTTAATCCGTCAGCTTAAAGCTAACATGTGTGACGACGAATCGAAGGTACAACGAAACAAGATAGGATGAAACTATTCACAGTACCCCCAAAGAAAAACTGAGCTGTGATTTATTTTCCATCGCAGAGTTATGAGTACTAAAAAATTCGTGGTCTTTGGTTTGGAGAGAGAGAGAGAGAGTTTGCCATCTTTTTCTCTTTAGATGTAAACAAACAACCTCCTTAGAAGATAGAAAATGAATTCAAGCAAATCATTGAACTTTTTTTTATCTCTTGTTCTCAGTGAATTCATCCTTTGTTATTCTCTTGAATAAAATTCTTGTTTCTTGTTTGCTAGTACAATAGCAAAAAGTAGGAAAATAGGGCACCCAAGTGGAGTTTTCTATCTGTGCTTTCTCAAAAGCTAAACGCTATTGTGTATATAAGTTTGAATTGAATAAAGAAACCCTTCTACGACGGAAACGAGACACGTGGCAGAATTTTTGTCTGTCATGCAAGTCAAGTACTCCAGGAACAGCAGTTAAAATTCTTACATTCACAATCCTAAACGATTCAAGAGATGTAAAAAAAACTTGACCGATTCTACATCTCCAAACTCTTTGTGGTTATCCAGAGCTGGGATTTGTTTAAAGTTTATTATTATTATTTTTGTTCTTTAGTCGATCAGAGATTTTCAGCAAGTTTCACCTGCTTTATTCGCACCATATGGAATCGTAGCAAAACACAATGCTTATTTGAATAAATAAACTGTATTCTTAGCAAGGGTGGTAGCTTCGCGGTCTAGGCTTACATCTGTCATTACCACTGCCCACATATTTTTTTCCCATTTTCTAGTCAAAACCATTCCATTCCTCAAACATCTACGGTCCTTACTAAAGATCATCATTTCTCTCACCCAAGCTCAACGATCTTGTAATAAGGTAACACTATAAGAGCTCGTGCAACGTAACCCCACTTTTTTGCACCACTGCTATTTCAGTACAGAGATAGTGTCCCTTAAAGATATCTGGCAACTTTTAAAACCTTCAATGTATTGTTTTTAAAATCGTGATAATTACGATCGATTGACATAATGTGTCTCATTGTAAAGGGTCCTGCACGAACGGACACTAGCAGTTTACCAATGCATCAACGAAATGTGAGGTTTCTTTTGTGCTAGCAATTTTTCACAGGATAGTGTTAATCAAACCTACTATGACTTAAAGTTTTTGTTTAGAACTTAAGGTATTGATATTAGTGCCTTCTTTATTAGTTCGTCGGATATTTCACTGCGTAATTTTCGAAGTCATGCTGTTTAACCGAAGTCTGTTGAAATATTTTTCATTGCCTTGCTGCGACTTGCTGGGACATTAGTCTATCTATTGTCATTACTCAAAAGATAATGACTTTGCTTAACCTCGAGGCAAGGGTTGAAAAACCTTGGAAAATCTTCCCAAAATTGGACTCTCAACTCAAATCTAATATACATTTTCGTAGGAGGAACTTAAAAATGGTTTTCCTCAAGTGTAGTATAATGACCTGCACTCGTGTCAAGATGAAGCATTGACTAGATGTGAAGACACGACTCTTATCAAGCTCAGTTACGTTAGATATATTTAAATATCTCCGAGAACGAGTTCTTGAGGTCCTTTGCTTGTGTTCTTAGAAAGCTTTTGAAATACCAAAGGAAGAAAAAATATACATATCGTACTTTATAGTGCCGATCAACTCCGGCTTCCAAACTGCAGACTATTTCGTTTGAATGATATAAAAGCCAAAATCATGCAGCAAAATGAAATTACGTTGTCCCAATATCTTTCAGTTTCAAATTATTATTTTTTATTCATCGCTTGGTGAATTTTTCTTCCACTGACAGTAAATTAAACAATAAAGGTTTTGAATTCCTACTTCAAATTGCCGCGTAAAACATGACAAATCTTTCAACGCGTTCACGGTAATCACAAAATTACTCTCATTAAGGTATAAGTCGATTATTTTTTTCCAATTTAACCTACTAACCGTTTTCGGGATTTTAAAAATACTATCATTCCAAACTACCGTGTGTATTCTGTAGTTTTATTGTCGTTCCGTGTGAGGTATTGCTATGTTCACAGTATGATAACTCTTCAAATTCATATAAACAAACCTTACGCGACCACATTGAAAAATATTTCTTTATTTAAGTTCAAGCAAAAATTATCCGCATTATTAGACTGTTTTTAAACTCAAGATTTTTCCGCAAACGTTTTCACGATTCTGAAATGATTTTTTTTCTTTTTTCTTGCCGTATTTTTATGTTCAAAGACATATTTGATATAGAAATTGCATTCATAGAACGTCTGTCAAGGGCTTTTAAGCTTAAATTTTAATGAATTCTCGACAAGTTTTCTCTTTCTCATAGTGAAATCGATAGAAATTTCATTCATCCCAAATGAATTGATAATCAAAAATTTATAACGTTTCCAAAACATTGGTCATCAGAATTGTCACAAAACATCTTCCCTCAACAGGCATAAACGCTCCAAAACAAACTGCTACAGCGAAAAATATGAATGTTAAAATATCTTGAATAATGTCACATGGAATCCACGCCGAACTCGTATTTTTTTTGCTTGTCGAAAATCATTTCGTCCTAAAAATCCATCTTATTTCGAATATTATTTCAAAAGAATTCTCTTAGCAAAAAAATAAAAAGCTTTTAAGAAAAATAATTTATTTTACTTTTTTCATTTTTAAACTATCAGGGTGGCGGACGAGTTTGCATCTTGAGCATTGTGAATCGCTAAACAAGGCGGAGTTCGTATAAATAAATGAAATTAGACCAAAACAAAAACTAAATTCCAGTCCGTAAAAGCTAGATTTGTTTGGAATAATGAAAATTTAATAATTTATCGAAAAAAAAAATGAAAATTTCTTTCATGATTGTGATTTACAAATTTAAAAAAAAATAAACCGTTTATTGCTAAAATTATTTTTCATATCAAAGGAAATACTGTTTTCGTTATTAATTAGTTTTTTAGTTTGCTCTTGTTTTCTCTGGTTTGATTAAAACCTCACTATCCCAAGAGAAGTATTTTAGCCTAAATAGTAAAATACCTTGGAATACCGACTTTGATTGACATCCACGATATAATCGATTCTAAATTCTTTGCAATAAGTTCCTTAAACAAATATTTCCGAAGGATTTTACATATGTCATGAATTCTTTTATTTCTTGGTCTTCAAAAGAGCCTTTTGTGTTTCATCTTTAGATGTCGTTTGAGTGAAACCTTCTCGAGCTTTTAGTAGTCATTGTTCGCAATCTTTTCCAAAACAACTTGGGCTTAGAAGACAATGGATTTTCAATAGTAAACGCGTTCTATTGAGAATATACAACCTTTTCGCTAGGACCCGTTAGGAAATATGTTTGCAATCATGAGCGGGATTTCCGGTTCCCGCGCTTTTCGGGCGCAAGACTTTCTGATCAAAGATCTAATCAGTTTCGAATAAACAAATATTCAGAAGCGGAAATTTGGGGAGTACCAAGTATCAAATGAAACAACCCTTTTTGTGTTTATCTCGAGTTGTCAATCAAGCACAAAGAACGTTTTGTGATTGGTTCTCAAGGATTAGGCCTTTGGTCTATGGACCGGCCTTCGGCGTAAAAATGCTTGCAAACGAATACTAAGTTGGCAACAAATGCACTTGTATCGTATGTATTTAAACCATCTTGGGGGAAATGTATACTTGAATGGTTAGATAACTTCTAAGACTCTGGCCATATCAGTTAACGATTATCGGCTGACGGAGATTTGAATCCAAGATCTACGCTATAAATCTAGTATGTATTACAATTTCCAACTTAGTTGTAAATGTATTCCATATCTTTTTGAAGTCTTGCTCAGTCGTAAATCAAACCAAAGATTTGTACCTCGCACTTTCCCGCTTAAGTAATTCCCAAAGTATCGAATGTGTTGTGCGCGACATATGCCTTGGCGTTGCAAAATTAGGATGTCAGTTACTCAAGTCATATCTTATAAAATCTACTTCGGTTTTCAACCTTTCCAAAAATAGCCTTTTTACACAGGAAAAATGTATTTTCTTGCTACAATATTATATCATGTGACCTCGTTTTGTATACTCAATTTTTAAAGAAATTACGAGAGTACGAAAATTATTAAATACGTTACAAATGGTGTTTAGAGAAATAAATTGCTAAAGAATGGATAAAAACCGATTTGACGACTATTTACTCCGCGAGTATGAAAATTAAAGCGTTTTTTTGAATACAATATATGTACGTATGCTGATTTTATTTACGGAAGAACGAGGGAAGAAAGAACTCTAAATGAAAAATATCCATTTAGTAAATTCACTGTCAAGATATTTTAATCATGTTTCCTGTTAATATTGTGATTTCGAGTTTGTTTTTATTCACAATACGAATTCTGTGGACTGAGTTGTTCTAAAGGTCTTGTAGATAGTTTTTTTTTTATAAATTTACTTTTATAGTATAGGATATTTCCCGGAATTATATTTAGGAATACAATGTTTTCAGATTTAATACTTTGGTATAACTTGCCCTTCGGGAACTCTGTTCTAATTTTATTAACGTATTTTCAGTATACTCAAGTAATTTCGTCTTGTATAGAATTAAGATACTTGTTTTATCAATTCTAGAATTTATTTCGTGGAAGCCGACACAAAAAATATCAAATCTGCGACACCGGAGATAGAAAATGTGTTAACTTAAAATATATTTAACTTTGTTATTGTAGTGGTAGATTAAACGTAATTTATTTTCATTCATAGAAAGTTGGATTAAAGATCGGCGGTCTTGTTTCTTCCCAGGCGACGATGCCAAGCGCGGGTCAAATGAATTCTCTCGACAAGAACAGTATTTGTGCCGGATGTGGATTGAGGATTATCGAACGCTTCTACTTAATGGCCGTGGACCGTGCATGGCATATAGACTGCTTAAAATGTAGCGAATGTGATCTGCGACTTGACAACGAACTTACCTGCTTTTCCAAAGACGGTCTGATCTTGTGCCGTGATGACTATTACAAGTAAGTACTTCTCTCTCTCTCTCTCTCTCTCATTTCAAAATCGCAATTTCACGAAGTGTTATATTATTTCTCCAAAACGACTGAGAATTTATACCTTTCTCACTGGAAATAACGTTCGACGAACAATAACACTTTTTAAGACCTAAAGACTGTGAACTAAACCATAATTTGTCAGATTTGGCGTGTTTATGATGGCTCAATGCAAAAGCAGTAAAGATTTTCCCCCATATGTCAAGTTATTTGCCTCTAACGACAGAGTTTTCTGAACTTTTATTTTAAAAACTTTGTATTTGAAGAAGTACAATACGTATTGAAGTCCCCAGTGTTTTTCATTCATCCCAAATCATGTTTAAACTATAAACAATACTGTGCGTCACCTTCTGCTATGATTTGAACAATATGATTTATTTTTTTAATATTATTCCATTTTGTTTATTTACGAAAAAAAAGACTCAAAAATATCTCATACTATTAAAGTATAAAATATTCTTTTAAACGTAATATCGAATTTGAATTCTTAAATACAAATATTATGCTTTAGAGTATTTGCAAGGTTTGTTTATGCAAGGTTTTAGGAGCAGCTGAAGCGGGATTTTGTCTGTAACGTGAACTACGTATGAGAAGGTAGACTGTATGCCGTGGATCAAGACTCAGGTTCTTTTTGTTGGATGGACGGTTAATGGGCCCTGATTCAGTGACTAGTTTCTGACTGGTAAAATAAAAGCTAGATAGAATTCATAATAAACAAATATGACTGAGACGTTTCCCTTTTGATAAACTCACCTATTCATAACAATACGAGGATTCCACTATTCAACACAATAGCTCGATCTATTACCTGTAGCGATATTGAAAACGAATATTGCCTTCGGCAGTATTGTTTTTCTTTGCCTCTTTTAACACTGACGGTTACAAGAAAGAATTTTTATATGCTTTACGGAAGTTGCTGTTTTCTTTGACATTTATTGCTTTAGGAATTAAAAAAAAAGCGAAATGAAAATTGAAAACTTAATTTAGAGCTAGACAAACGAATACAGACTTTCTATTCATTTCCAGGTTTATAATTTTATCTATATTAAAACGACCTTACAAGACAAAGTCTTGAATGAATAGCTAACTACGGTAGTATCTTTTCCTTGTCAAGCCATCTATCACTTTTTTTTCATAACTTTCCGCGATGTTTTTCTAGGCTAATTTAAAACTTAAACTCTATTTTTCTCGAGTTATGAAAACTGACGGGAAAACCACTTTGAGACTGTCAGCCAAGAAGGCCAAACAATTGCAACGTGTCGAAATTAATTTTGATTAAAAAGTTTTCAAGAGTAAAGTTTGTTTTTGAAATGCTAACAAATCATTTTAATCACTCCAATAACCTTTTTCAAAAATTAAACGCTGAATTTCTTGATGAAACTGCTTTGTTTTTGAAGGGATAGGGCCGTGGGGTTTGGTGATGATGGTTAATCCAATTGCCTTCACTTTTACTGTCGCATGGAAGAATAAGAAGTCAACACGATCTCCTAAGAAAGATCCATCGGTCAATACAACCATTACAATAGTATTTATTATATATACTTTAAGGTTTATAAGCTCGGGGAATTCTCCTTCCCGCACAAAGGGGATTCTTTCGTCAACCACGCGTTACCTAGATACGGGGTATTAGGAGTTTATCTTGCGAAGTGAAGATAGAGTTTTGGTTTCATAATTTCATTATGATTACAAACCCCTTGACACAATTACTTAAGTTGAGCAAACAGCAGAAATCCTATTGCTTCTGAATGTCATATTACTAATCTAGTATTCCTCCTATCTTGGTTTGAGTTTGCCGTTGGGAAATTTCTAGTTCAAATGTGGCTTTGGCTTTGGTCCCGCGTGAGGTTAAGTTTTCTCTCCACGATAACATGTTACTATACTTGCCGACGTTTTGATGATAATACTCATAATCATATCATTCAAAATTCTTGAATGCGAATTAAAAACGGTTCTTATATTCTCAGAATTTTTATACTTAAACATTTGAATATGCATTGCAGAGCATATATACTTCAAATTGGCTCTTTTTTGATCCCTGGGATTAGGCCTTTGCCATTGGAAAGCGTTTTTATTTACTGACAATACAACGCCTTAATACTATCAATCAGATTCATTTATGACCAGCCAAAAGGTATTCTAAAAATTATTATTTCCGTTAGCAACCGTAAAACTAAGAACTTTGTCAATAAAATCGCACCTAGATTTTTCATAACTTTGATTTTTTACCATATTTTACTGATTTCCGTGAAAATTCGCTTTAATCTTTTCTTGGGTTTATTTGAGTATCAATTTTTGCACTCTTTTAAATGATTTCTTTCAAGTCTCAGAAATAAGATTTGCTTTTTTGTTATCCAAAACTTTTTTATCTCGAGTATTCAATCTTCTACTCAATGAAAATTGCGAAGAATATCTTATCTTAAAAGTCCTATTGTTTGGACCCCTTCAGTACTATTGTACTGCCTTTCCCACGGTAAAGTGAAAAAAACAACTATAGACCAATGATCTTTCCTCACTTATTTCAATTAAGAACTCTGCCTTTCTTTCAGCAATTATTCTCGTAGAAAAAATTAACTTTAGCTGAGCCATTGCTTCGTGTAGTAAGTATTGGCAAGTGGTTAAAAGCATCAAAAAGCTAAAAATACCCCCCAAAAGTGTCCCTTTTTGCTTTTAAGCACTTCTCTATTGTTCTTGGCCATTTTTTGCATTACCTCGTGTCCTGTCCTTGCTTTAGCGTCACTAAGATACGAAAGCTTTTTTCTATTTTCTCCCATTACAGACCAACCACTTCAAGTGGTCCATGCTATATAGTCAAAGTTTTCATTAGTGGCCAATATCCGTATTTTTTATATATCTTAAGTGAGTTCGGTTCTGTGAGCGGAATCAAAAAAGCATTTCATTCCGAGAGGGAAGCTCTTAAAGTCAAAACCATGCACTCACAAATATCCGGCTGTTTTAAATGGAATCTGACTTGACTAAACCTGAGAAAAATAGTTCATGTAACGGGTAAGGATCTTAAAGAAATATATTTAAAAGGAAAAAAAAGACATTTAGTCTGAACGTCACGTCCGTGCTCACTACTTCTCTAAGCTCACTAAATGGGTTGTGAACTGACTCATTTGATCTATGAATCAGCCCAGAGGTTGTTTCATGTGCAATCTGTGAGTTAGCCGTGTCCTGACTTACATCAGCCCAGAGGTTGCTAAGGGCTTGATGTGCGAGTTAGCCGTGCCCTGAATTTGATCAGCCCAGAGGTTTGTTTAGTAGAACTTGTATGAATAAGCTCAACATACCGTAGCAAGCGTAAACACCCCAAGGGCAAAAAGACTCATGACAATTTCATAACTGAAAACTTTTGGAAATTCCCCAACCATTTTCAGTAACTCTAGCAACTGATTTTGTGTTTTTTGTTATTGCCTTTTCGATATGTTTCCCATAATAATAGAAAGTACCTGGCTTCGGCTGATTCAGTTTGAATTATCGGTCATCTTAACCCAAACCTAATCACCTTCCAAACTTCTAGGCCATAAAAGTTAACCATTTTTTGTTCAAATTATGAAATTGCCAATCAAGACTTTTTAAGTTTCGGCAAAGCCGAGAAATTTCAATTTTTTTCAGTCTATGATGACTAAGTGTTACTTATTTAGTAGACGAGCTAGAGCATTCGTGCTGCATCCAAAATACATGATGAAAATTCTTGTTTTGATTTGGGGTGAGAAAGTCTCACCATGCCAACAGCGTTAGTCTAGACGTCGTACACGGYACCCTTGCCGAGACCTTGCGACGGTTTTTGTTATCAGTTATCTCAAACTTCTCACAAAGGGCTGCCGATATTATTGGTGAATTAAGCAGGTGCTAGAGCTATGGTTAACTAATGAATATTTATCTCTGTTAAGACCGTTAATTGAACAATACTGCCAAGATGCTCTGTAGACAATGACACCGAGCGAGGGAGTTAAATAGTTCACTTGATGGGAGATAGTGAGGAAATGTCTGTCGGGGGTGATAATGGCAATGATAGTATAAAAAGCATGGTTTGGCGAGGTTGGAAAGAGGTTGAGTAAGTTCCTATTAAAACAATAATGTAAGGAAAAGAAAAGGGTGCATATGATGGCAGATAATGACAGAAGATGAGAGAGTAGTAATCGTACTCCAGCAGTGTAACATTAAACATGGTTGACRTACTTCCCTTCACTCCCCTCACCCCTACCCTGGGGATATTAAACTGTCTACTGAACCTCGCTTTATCATCGACCTCTTTACTCCTTGGGCGTAATGTTTTTCCATATCAGACCACGTGTCATTCCCTAGAATATCATGTCTTTGTCTATCGATTGCGCATAGACACATCAATATCACGGAATACAGCTCAAACGAAGAAGCTTATTCTCAAGGGAATGACACGTGTTCTGAAAGAGGAAAACCTTATACCCAAGGTAAAGAGGCCTTTAACCAAAGTAAACAGTCTACCTGATAAAATATTCCTGTTTATTCCCAGAGTATCATTTCTTTGTTTAACGGTTGTGCATCAAAAGACACATAAAATATGGATACATGCAACTAAAAACGAATAATCTTATTCTCAAGAGAATGACGCGTGGTCTGAAGTGTGGTAAAATTTGTAAATGATAAATCGATGATCGATAAATTGTTTCCTGTAAGGGATCCTCAGAGCTGTAGTGGCTGTAAAGTTAAATTTTGAAGTTATCATAAGCTGTATTAAACCAATCAGGGTTAATGGTAATAATTGTAGTTCGTTCAGTTGCTATGGAAACTTGAAATAAGTTTGACTTTTCTGTCCCTTAAGTCTCTGTGTAAAGCAGACCCAATAGACTAAAGCTACAAATAGGTAGTAATTTTCCTTTTTTATAATCATTTTCAGGAGATTTTCAGTTCAAAAATGCTCAGCTTGCGGTCAAGGAATAACGAGCAAGGAGCTAGTCATGCGAGCCCGCGAACATGTGTACCATGTCGGCTGTTTCGCTTGTGATCGCTGCAAACGCATGCTCGCCACGGGCGAGTACTTCGGAATGCGTGGAATGCGGATATATTGCAAGGAAGATTATGAAGAGTTACTACGAGAGGAATCGCGTTCAGGGAAAACTTCATCCAGTTCGAAAGGAAGACCAAGAAAAAGACGGTTAGCAAGTACTATCGAAAGCGTCAGTGCTTTAGCAGGTAAGACAACCGGTTTTGTCTTGTTTAACAAGTTTTTCTGTTTCAACAGGTTTGACTCAGTCATTGAGTATGGGAAGTCTTCGTCCCCATTCTTCGCTCCGGTCTGGGGATGAAAAATTGAATTTGTTGTATCAAAATAATAATACTAATAAAGAAAGGAAGAGAGAGGGGAAGACGGGAGCGGGGAGGTAAAAGGAAAAGAAAGGGAAAGAAGAAAAAAATGGAAAGAAAAGGAAAGAAAATTTATAAAAAAGAGTTTTTAAGCATTTTGTACCGGAACATCCTCTCTCACAACAAATCTTAAGATTCACAAAAAAACGCTATAATTTGTTATTCATCTTCTTTCTCGACTAATTCCTTAATTACCCAACAGGATTACATAAGATTAGTTTAATTTTATCGCAAGGTCGAAAAAACTTAACCAGCACCTAATACAGGTGCTTCGAATGACGTTCTCATTTTCATTGTTTTGTCGACTTGTCCCACCAAAAAAAGCTCCAACAACGGCTACATTTATGTGGTTCTTAAAGACGCTTTCTCTTTAGATCTTTTATCATTGCTGTCCAACATAATTAAAAACTAAAGAAAAGTAATAATTTTGAAACCTTGACAAGAACCCACAAAAATAATGTTATCGATTGTTATCGATGTAGATTGGTTGATATTGCTATTGTTCAAATGGCTTAACAATCGGCTACTCGACCCATTGTCGGCTTCCTTTTGCGGTGATTTAAACAATAGCCTGTTGAAAGCAAATTTGTGGTTGAGTACACTTTTCTCAATACGAATTAGCTTCTATCAAGCAAAATAAGATCTTTGTTATCATGTTTGCTTTACATAGAATTGCGCACTTGAAATTTTGATACACCATCGATAGACAAAGAAGATAAAAAATCAAATCCAGAAATTTAAACGAAGAATCAAAATGCATAAATTATAAGATATTCTCAAAGCTTTTCTTTTCTTTTGCTTGAGTTTGATTTATTGTTTTCGCCGAAAAAAAATTACACGCCTATTTAAGTGATTGATTTCTAAGGGCACCGCTCATTTGCGCGGCAAGATACTAAGTATATTTCTTGTTTCTGAACTCCAAATTAGCGCGCTCTTGTTTTTATAGCGTAGCGTCACTGAATAGTGTAACTTCTCGTGATTCTAGAGTATGTATTATCTTATAAGTCCCAGAAGTCACATGTAGTTAAACTGCTGTGTACGGAAATATAAAGCGAATTATTCAATTTCGAACAAAGCAAACAGAACTAAATTTTTCATCATCAGTTCTAGCATTGCCATAAGACTTTCATTCCTTATCCATTTCAGTTTATCTTTCGCCACCATTTTTGCACAATTCCAAGCAATCCAGCTTTTTTCCTTTCCAGGTCGTTTTTGGTCTCCCGACTTATCTTATACCAATTCTTTTTTCACTTGAAGAAGTTTTCTGACAAAACCCCATAAATTTAGCAAAGCTCAGTTCTTTTTTGAAGCTTTTTTTTATTTAAATCATTTCGAAACCAGTTGTACTAAATTCGATTTTTTGAATTAACACCCTTGAGTTTACTGGAAAACGAATTAACTAATTAGTAATTGTTAACTGCTTATACCACTCCAAGCTACGAACTAAATTTGTATTTTAATTTCATTAAGTCTACGTACACTTGTTGGCCAATTTTTAAGGCTCTTAAATATGTTGAAGTTGCTAAATTCTGCGGCCATCTTGGAAAGATTTGATTGAATCGATTTTTCAAGTCTTGGTGAAAATGTATTACCGACCCTATTTTAAAATATATTCTTAAAGTCAATGACAGTGTTGGTGGGATCTGGTCTTTTATTGTAACCGAATTCAAGTAATTTGTTTTCCAATCATATATATATTGCCAAGACTCGTATTCACCGAACGGTATAATGTTTTTAAACCATATTGCAGTGATAAAGCTTTTGTACTTTGATGGAGTCATTTTTACGACAAAGACAATTAGAATTCTTTATGTTATTCTCTTATTCAATTTCAATGTCGCTTAATGGCGCTAACAGGTCTGTAGAAGGTGGAAGTACCAAGTATTCTTAATGACGAGAAGTTTCTTTCAACAAACGGCTGCAACGTTATACTCTGTTCAAATGTAAAAGCCTTCTGACCGGCAAAGCTCTGGCGTGCAGAGTCAAAGCAGTCAAAGGGTCGCCAAACTTGCTAAAGGCGACAAGTCAATTCTCGTAATTCAGTTCAGCGCTTGCCTCTTAACAATGCTACCCGAGATTTGATGTTTTTTATTTTAATTTTATTTTTTATAGTGTGATAGAGTTTTTAGTCGGTTCTCTCCTGTGCTTTGATGCTTTTTCGCCGGTCTTTCGTCCGTCCGCAAAAACCAGCTTTTAAATTCCGGTTCGATCATGGAACGAGGACCACTGGTTTGTGAGCCCCTGCATGGGCTATTAAGTGATACTCTCATTAAACAAAGACGATTTTCTTTCCGAAAATATATTTGCCGATACTGAAATTTTATTTCTAACACTTGACGCGCGTCTGAGTTCAAAAAAAATTGTTTGATTCGCTTTGAACAAATGTTCCTCACGGCACACCCTAATATTGGCGTAGTTGAATCGACAGTGCAATAATAATCGTAATCGAACTTATGTTCGGTAATATTATTTTAGTTAAAGCAAATTTATTGTTTTTCGCTTCGATAGTGTAGCTGTTTCCATCTTCCTCAAGTTGCTGAAACAACTAACAGCCAGTTGTACGAAGAGTGGATAGCGCAGTACCCGATGGATAAATCCTCCACTAGATTAGATTTATCCGTCGGATAGAACTATGCACCCTTCCTACAACTGATTCCAGAAGTAAAGTTTCCGAAAGTTTGACCCATATTTTTAAGAATTATAGAATTCTATAGAAATGCCGTTCTGGAAATGGATCCCCCCCCCAACACTTCCAACGAACATTGGACTGGAATATGAACGAGAAGTATTAACATCAGCATCAGCTGCAACCATAATTTTAGTTTCAAAATCATAACCGCAACAGAGTGATAGTCAAACATGACACAATATGGATTTGGAGGACTTTGTCATCACACGACATCAGTGATTTGACATATGACTCATGAAAAACTGTTTTACGTCTTGAGGTGGCATTGTCATAAAACGTGACGCTTCCATAGGTCCCTGTTTTTGTGTGAATTGAAGTAAACATCTTTCAGAAAAGCCAAAATCTTCTGGATTCCTAGTCATGTCTTTTCTTGACTTGTTGCTAAGCATTTTTTGGAAATTCCTGCACTGCTAGAATGAACGAAAAGCCTCTAGGTTATTTAGGTCATAACTTCCCTCTAAAGATGTCGATGAAACCACTATGTTGTTGTTCGTTATTCATTCGTTCATCTTTATTGCTGTTGTACTATTTTTCAGTGTTGTTTTTGAGGTAAAAGGGTGTGTTTGTGTTTTGTTTTTTTTTGTTTAGGAGTACGCTTAGTTTTCTCGCTAAAACATCCGAGCTCCAGTGTTTCTGTTTATTTTCCATCTTGAATGCGCACGTAGTCAAATGAAATCAAAATAGTTCATTATTGTGATATGTTTGGGATGTATTTGCATACACTAAATTGTGATGTCTTTGAAGACACTCAGTTGCAAAATCATTGTTGCGTTCAAAACAGAAGCTCAGGTCTACCGAAATGGTACCTTGGAAGTATGTTAATTAGATGTATCTAGGGATAGAGCTCGTGGGATGTTTATGAATTATTGCACTGGCAGAAAGCATGGAGGCTTTTCCACTGTGTACAGTCAATTCAAAAAACGCTGTCGTCGACCGGTTCCGAGCCTACGCTACTGGACCGAAAGGAATATGGGTAAAAATCACTGAAGCGGTTAAATATTCGTTCTGAATTAATTGTTCCCGCTAGTAGCAAAGATAATAATGGCGAGTAAAAAATCCATTAAATGCATGTCTTCTTGGGTTTAAGGGGAAAAAAACAAAGTAGTTATGATTCAGTTCACAATCCCGAAAATATGAAGGCACTGAAAAAAGTCTCCTTCAACATTTCCGCACGCCTACGAAGGTTCGTGCTTTAAACCAGGCATAACTAGTCAGATAAAATTATGGAGTCAACTCGGCTTCAATGATTGCTACCCAGAGTTCCTTTCGGTCCAGTCACGTAGGCTTGAGTTGGTCGACGACAACATTTTTTGAATTGACTGTATCTCAAATGAATACATCAGAGTATAATCATGTCATTTACCAGCATACCTTTCGGTCTCCGTTTTTAAGTTTGAACCCGACAATGCATGATACCATAGCATTCGATCAGTCAAAAAGCTATTTTTTTTAAATTGCAATGAATGTAATCATACTTCGTGTCAAACAGTCCTATCGTTAAAAGCAATCTTGACAAGGATCGTGTTGACTCAGAACTTGAATGGACCTCGATTTTTTTTCTTTATCATTCAGACCACGTGTCATTCCCTTGAGAATGCGTTTGTTTAATTGTATATTCATGTGTCTTCTCATGGGCAACAATTTAAAAAAATGATACTCTAGGGAATGACACGTGGTCTAAAATGGAAAACATTGGGCCGAAGCCGAGGAGGTCTATTTTGTCATTTTAGTTGCAACTCGACTCATTGCTGGTTTTCAATCATTCCCAAGAGAATAAATTACAAAAGACACGGCGGCCATGTTGGATGATATAACAAAAGAGACTAATGAAGATTCTTTTTTTCCAATTCATCCAACATGGCGGCTGTGAAAACCGTCAATTCCTCTTTTTTAGTAAAGAAGATTAACAGCAGGTAAAAATTGAAAACGTGACTACGATATAGTATCGTATTCTGTTCCCTTATTACTCACACATTCATCAATTAAGTCCGCATGACTCAGGATTCGCTTAGTCCACCAATTACGGGTCAAATTATCCAAGATGAGTAAGATCATGTTATGATATATATTTAAACAGCGGGTGAATATCGTTAAACGTGACTATGAACGGATCTCTTGCTTTAGTAGTCGCATTGTGTTGCATCAAAACTCAGAACTTGAGAGAATTCATTTATTGATTAGCAAGGAATGCACGGTAGGAATTCAATTTCGACACCTCTTCGTAGTTGTAATATTCTTCCCCTCTACCCATTTTTGTGGAAAGATATATATTGACCTTCCTTCAGTCAGATAAATCAGATATATTATGACTAACCCCTTTTCCCCAGGATTTGGACCCGCTTATATTAAAACTGAATACAATACTTCGCCTACTCCCCTCAGCGATAAAGAGAGCGCGCTCTCTCAGCCCTTCCTCACGTCGTGATGTGCACCAGAAGTCCCATCGTCAGCTCTATATAAATACTTGACTCCAATATACCATCATTCTCTTAGTTTATTACTTGCACATCTATCAAGTTGATTCGACGTATTGACAGGAGTTAAACTTTCTCATCGTCAAGTAAAACAGGATGATTATCAAGAAGCGACGTGGTCGCGGTGTCTGACGGCATTGGTAAAACAAGCCCGAAGACCGCCATGCAGGATGTCAAATATAATGGTTGAGATGCGTTGTTTTATCGCACGCTTTAATGTCACTCTTTCTTTCTTTCTTTCTTTCTTTCTTTCTTTCTTTCTTTCTTTCTTTCTTTCTTTCTTTCTTTCTTTC